TTAGAGTATCTTTAACTTTTTTTTTTCTGAAAAATACAAAACTTTTTGATGAACACACTTTTCTATTCATCGGAAAATTTAAAAGTTGTAAGAAATAATCAACAAAGTAGCGATTAATTCTTTATTATAATTAGCAGTTTTTTGATTATTTAAACTATTGCTGCAGTTGTTTGTGTTATGTTTTTTTGTGTCGTTTTGTTTATTACTATAATACTATGATCACTGTTGCTTCTGCTACAGCAGTATTTTAATTTATCATTTGTCTTATGAAATCTTCAGATGCTTATTATCGTTTCAAATATTTGCTCATTGCTTTCTGCTTGCTTTTTTTTAGCTGAGATACACATTGGCTTTGTTTAATGTTGGTCGAGATTGACGCAAACTTTACAGTCAAGCCATAATCAGGTTTGCTTACCACTTTTTTTCCTCTTATTTTGGTTGCTACTGCTGTGGTTGTTGTTGTCGTTTTGAAGTAACTACGGAAGTTACGGGTTAAAAAAATACTGCTTTATTTTTTTAGTAAATAAAACTTAATTCTCGGTCCGCGTTTACCGTTGACATTAGGCTAATGATCCCGTTTGATTAAAATTAGCTGATTAAATGCCATGACATTGATTGAACTGTGTTTATTAATTCAATTCATTGAAGGGAAAAGTTTTTTTTGCCTTTTTCCAGTCATGCAAATTTTTAAAGGTTTTTTGCGTGAAATGAAGCCAAGGAAATAAACATTTCAGCGAGAAATACAAATTTTGATGGTTTCTTCAAAAAAGAAGGAGGAGTGGAAAAAAGAGTAGGGAATGCTTTTTTTAATGCCCAGATTGGTAACTTTTCACTGAAGTTTTTCTTTTCCCATTTTCTTGTTCTTATATAATTTATTTTTTGCCCAAACAATTTTTTAGGTATAACGCAACAGTGAACAATGCCACTTAATCGCATTCGTTTCAATGTCGGAGGATCGGTTTTTGAAACCACTGATGAAACACTGAACCGTATTGATGGAACAATGCTTAAAGCGTTATGTCAAGAAAATTGGGCTGATTCAAAGAAAGAAGAAATATTTATTGATCGTGATCCGACGCACTTCCGACTGATCTTAAATTTCTTACGTGATGGGGCCTCAGCGTTACCTGTCAATGAAAAAGATTTGGTGGAAATAGAACGTGAAGCTGATGTAAGTGTTTTATGTTTCAACTCCTGAACAAATAATTGCTATAGACTCTAGGTATACGTTGAAAAACTGGCTTTTGTCTTTTTCTCCCCAATTTAGTTTTACGGAGTAGCTGAATTAGCAAGGGCCTGTAGAAATCATCTGGAGGAGGTAAATCTTGGTAATGAAGTCAAGTGGAAGCCGGAAGCTGTGGAATATTACTGGAGATCGTTTGTGCGATTTTGGGTAGATGACAGCCTTATACTGCCGTTTACATATGAAAGAAATGGGCATATGCTTGCCAAATGTATAGCTTGTGATGAGGTAAAAGTTGTTTTCTTAAATCTCTGTTATATAGTTGTATTTTTCCTATTACTGTTGATCTTGTGGTTCCTTCTAACTGCTGCTGCTTTTCGAGCTAATTTTTTAGTATTTTCAGATACAAGAACCAAAGTGCTCATATAAATATGACATACCGGAGGATACGTGGAGGGCAATGGCGCATCATATGTTGTACATGTGCGGTACTGTAACTCAGGTTATATTTTCTTATGCTAAACATTTTAAATCAGATATTTTTAGTCAACAAACAATGAATTTATTACCGAAAGTTTCAGGTACCAATTTAGACACAGTATGGTTTTGCCATGTTTTTTATTAGTGTGTCTGTTGAACAGTTGATTTATAACGCTACACAATAATAAAACGAGCATCTTTTTAGCTTATTGGTGACAGCTGTTGCGTGGTTCAGTGGAGCAACGGCCGGATTATACATGTACCCTTATCGGCTCTAATGAAAATTTGCTGACAAAAGTTTTAATTAAATCTAAAATAACGATAAAAGTAAAAGAAGCAAGTCTAGACGCACAATCAATTTCCGGAAAATTGCTTCGTTGGGAAACTTTTAATCTGTTTATATCAGTGGAATTAAAGTTAGTTACGAGGATTTATGGTGAAGTTATGCTGTTACTTTGATTATAGGTCACTTAAAACTGCTGTCCTAAAAAAATAAGCACATGTTAAGGCATTAGCCCCATAAAATTTTCATTCATTACTAGCCCTTTCAAGTAGAAGCCAGTGTAAAAATTGTGAAAAACATCCTCAAAATCCTATAAACTTTTTGCGTTTTGACAATTAACTCAACTGGGAATGTTTCTTGACAAAAAAAATTGTTTCTGTTAACATCAAGAGTCGGCGAAATTGCTTATAGCGTAGAATCGTTGATTATGTGTCATTTAGTTTTGAAAAAATTTGATTTTTTAAGTAGGTACTGGGTGGATATTTTAGCAGAATAGAGCTGAAGCATAGTAGCAAAATGACTTCCTTATCATACAGACATAAATTGCCATTGTATAATAGTAATTTGAGACATGAGAGAAGGTTTATTTATTTTCGGCTATAATATAATTTATGGTTGTCTTTGATAATAATACAAATAAAAAAACGAAACAGACAAGTTGTACATTGTTAAAGAAGTACATTGTCGTATTGATGAACAATTAGGTTTTCAAAAATGCTCTAAAATTACGCGTGCATATCATTTGTGAGATATCAAGGTTTTCTGTGAAAGTTCTTAAGTGCTAAGAAAAACAATTGGATTGACACTTTATAGATTATGGAGTGCGCGATATCCCGGTAAGCTATAAACCAGACTGCAGCGCTGATCTTTGAAGTTTAAGGTTTTGTTCAGAAGTAAACGCTGCAAAGGTAACCGTTGTTGGGGAGTGTTAAGCTGGTGTTCAGTGTAAATCTGTTTTTAATTTAAACCACAAACAATTACTAACTTATTTGAATAGTTCTCAGCGACAACACTTTTCAGTTATATGTATCAACATTCAGCACTATAATAGTCTTTGAGTTTCATATACTTTTTTTTTTTGCAAATCATTCTATGTTGTATTCAAAAGAAGAAACCTCAGGGTTTATTAAATAGCTTGCATTTTCAAACACATTCATAATTCAGCAGTTTTTGTGCCACACTTTTCAGCTCGATTGTCTCTAAATGCAGTGTAGAACTTTTTTTCCTTCTTATTTTTCTCTCCCCCTTTACAATGTCAGAAGTTTTTTCAAGTAAACGTCTTAAAAAAAATTTTTTTTGAATACGTTTATTAGATTTATTTCCCACAAGTCCTTCAATTGTTGATTCAGAAAAAAGTAGATTTTTTTAAAAAAAAAAGTTTTTTTTGCTTAAACTTTAATGACTATAAGCTGGTTTTTTTTGGCTTAAGAAACGCCATTTTTAGTTGAATAAATCTATGTACGTTTAATTAAGAGTAGTTCAAGTCAAAAATAACCGCTCGATGCTGGTCAAAAATATGATGGCTTTTAATAATATAGAAGAATTTTCCTTAAAATTTTACATTTACAGTGGACTAAAAACATTAAAAATATATGCTATTTTACTAAAAGGTAACGAGAATATGAGCGGATTTTTAACCTTTTTTTCAAAACTTTGTTTTTTTATAGCTTTCCATGTCTATTACTTGCCTGATAACAGCTAAGCAATGAGTGAGAACTGGTTAAAATATCTCAGGATTGGGGACATGTCCATCAAGCATGTAGCTCTCTTTGTCCGAACGACCATGAGTTCTAGAATGTGTTCAAGTTTGCAAGTAAATGAACAAAAGTTTCAATTTTTTATTAGCAGCAAAATTTTGAAGCCTTCTTTCTAGCCTGAAAAATTGTCTGTTGGCCTGTTGACCAGCAAAACAAAAAAAAGTAGTAAAACTACTGCAAAAAATTGCTTTTTGGAACGGAGAACTTTAAAGATTATTACACACAAGTCGATTGTTGCAGAAATTTGCTTCCGCTACAAACATTCTACAAAATCAGATTTGATTCAGTAAATTTTAATTAATTTTTTTGAAATATATTAATGCAGAAAATGATTTGTCTACAATTTCTTGACTGTTTTCCTCTGAAAAAGAATAAATTTCTTTTCTTCCTTTCTTCTTATACCTACCTTCCATTACTATCTCTACAAACAATTTCATATTTTTGAAGTCTATCGTGTTCTTACAGAAGCAGATTAAAAATGCGTCAAGCAATATTCACTTAACAGAAAGAAACTCTTTAGTGGTGTATGGAATTCAATTTAATGCAAACATCAGGACATTATGACTTAAACACTGCACTGAACCAAATATGCTCATACCATACCAAAAATTTACAAACAATTATTATCCTAGCACCCTTCAGTGTTAGTAGCACCCAGTTTTGATTTCCATTTTTTGCCCTGTTTCAACTTTCTAAATGTTCTGCCAACACCGTAGAAAAAAATGCAAAAAAAAAAAAAAAAAAAA